AGGCACCACGGGCGGGGTCAACGGAGCAAATCGCGAGATCCACTAAATCGAATGAAAAATTGTACCGACTTCAATGAACCGATGTTTTGAAGGTAACGTTCGCTGAATCGGCGCGGCCGTTGGGCCACGATTCGGAAAATATCTGCTACCCCCAACGTAAGGTATTTCTCGAAACATCAGGCCCTTGGGACACACAAAAAATTCAAGACCCCTTTTCACGTAGAACCTCCTACTTCCAATATGCGTGTAATATTTTAGGCAAGGTGGAATTCCCTTTTCCGAATGGCAACATAGGCATGATACACTAAGGACAATGGACATTTATTACTTAGTTGTTAAAATTTTGAGACTCGCGTCTTTATTTCATCATCGGACTTTTACCCAGATGTGAATTGTCAATACAGTCAATCAGAATACGAATATCAATGAAAAAAAAAACTTATATCCGGCACAATCTCCCTTTAAGCTATCTATTAACTTGAGATATGATTGCAACACATAGTACAAAATAGGTACTAATTTATAACCATTATTCAATCGCACATAAACTGCACACGTCCACAATGTAACATTTAAGTAAAGACCACAATTATAAAACGTCTAAACAAAAGCCAACGAAAATTAAATCGCCCCACATTTCCCTCATATCACATTCATTATACCAGCCTTGTTTTATTCACAAAAGAACTTCTATCATAAAAATAAATAATACAATAGGAAACACACCATCATACATAACACTTCAGTTAATATGGTTATAATAAGTCTCACTTTGTTTACCTATCTCCCGTCCCCCCACTACGGGACTACCCAATGTGCAGAACCACTGAACTTCATACGACCAACTTTAAAATGAAAGATTCGCTGCGCCCCGTGTAATATTGAATTCTCAACCACATATAGAAGTAACCACGTATATGAGAACTTAGTGCTCTACTGGTTTTCTATGTGGTCCTAGTCCTCTCAAACTATTTTTGAAACAAAATGGGTAATAGTTAAATAATTTCTCTAAAGAACTTATCAACTAGATGTTATTTATATTCATATAGCATCAGCCAGTAAATGCCCCACTGTTGGGCCTTTGACACATACAAAACTTACTAAAACGAAATGTTTTACATCTTAATGTTCATCTGCTTAACATATAATTTAGGATCACAAAACTTATAGGTAACTAATACTAAACCTTAATATGCTAAGAATGACTTACAAACGGTGTCAAACCAGTCATAAAATAAAATAAAACCTTTTTCATTCCACTGTTAATAGGCTGTAAATATTACTTCCAATGCCAGAGTGAACTGTAAAAAAAAATATGCTGTATTAAATACATATGTCAAAAACTCGCTAACCTATTTCAAACCTTAATAGTTTAGCAATGGAGTTGAAAATCAAACGTCATCGGAATGGGATAGCTTTTTGTGCTACATGTTACATTTCGCGCCCTATTTTTGATGACGTCATCAAAGTAAGGTTGTCACCGGGCGATTGTATTCAGTTTTTCACCTTGGTTTTGAATATGAAGTCATTAATGGATATATGGAAATGGGTCGTTCTTGACTGGTCTAACAATAAGTCACTTAGTAAGACATTCTTAGTGGCTAACACCCTTTTCATAGACACGCTGACATTTGTTCATGCGATTGAATAAACATAGTACCTACATTAGTTTTATAATAGTTATTAGTTCCGTTACCTACATTATCTACGAATACATACATTATTTCTGATATTTACGAATATTCTTATACGATATCGGAATATTAAATTATTGATCTTGAAAGTGAGAAATGACATCTTTTATTATTTGATATTTTTATTTGATAGTAAGTTTGCCATACTTACTATCAAATAGATAACCTGATGGTAAGCTATCGCCCATAGACACCCGCAACACCGGAGGAGCTGCGAGTGCGTCCCCGGCCGCTTTGTGTGGGTCTCAGAAATTTGGAGATTAGGGTTTCGGAGATTTAGGGATGTGGAGAGGAAAGATTGGGTCTCCAACAACTTTGCACACACAGCTCGAAAAAACACAACGCTACGGTTGCTTCACACCTATTTTCTGTGAGGCCGGAATATCACTCCGATCGAGGCCACCTATTCGTGCCGAAGCAAGACTCTTCGACACTTAAATTACATTTTAGTCAGTTAATATTTCTGAGCTTTTTAAAATATAAATTTCAAATTATAGACTTTCAAAAGTACACAAAAATCTAACTTGATATCTTAAATTTATTCTTATTACACTCTAATGAACTGAACTAACTCATTTTCCCAGTACATACATAATTTCCAATACACAACACAATATGTGCTTTCCCAACAAACTCATACCTGTGTTGAGCATTGATTATGAACTTTGATACCTAGGTACACTATCTAGACCTAGTTACGTTCCTAGGTCTAGAAACTTTGCTATCTTCGAAAGTTTTACGTGATATTCCAATTGGTTTCAATTTATTATGGAAAGATATCGGCGTCAGAAGTTTTCGTATTTCGTCTTGTGAGGTTTGTGGTACATATTTGAGGGGAAATGTAGATTATTGTCAAGATTGGGCAAAGTGAAATAAAAATAGAAAAACCTAATCACAAAATCTTACTAATATTATAAATGCGAAAGTTACGATGTTTGAATTTTGTTAATCAATCACGCCAAAACGACTGGACGGATCGGATAGGATTTACTCCGGAATAGGACATAGGTTATTTTTATCAACTTACCATGCAGGCGAAGCCGCGGGCAAAAACTAGTTACTACGGTGTTATCTTCAGTAATGTAATATCAACTATCGAGCTAGAAAAAACAATGTCGAAAAAAACAAACAAAATAAACACACAAACAATCATCGGACATTGGTTGCTTCCTATACCAGACCCCGTCTATAAAAAAGCGGTCCACCCAGCATGAGGTGCATTCAAATGTAGGAAATGGCCCACTGTGGCGCTAGAACCGATGAGCTAGCACCGCTAATTTATAGCTATGTTTACACCCAAGTTTCTCAAGTTTCCCGCAGACACATTCACACAACTTATCCTTTGATAAATACAACGTAAACTAAAGTATTAATTCTACTTTTATGTATGTTTAACAAGACTTTTTGACAAGCCTCGATAAGGTGCACTTCTACAAAGAAGATACACACTGAGCGACATTATTTTCATATCATAATAAAAGTAGCTTGACAAACAACGCACAAGAGACCACTCGCACAAAGATGTTCTTTTGAAGAGCGCACATGTCGACGTGAGCGACGCACCTGTTTACTTTAACATGACGTCTGTCAAACATATAAAAGGTGCCTCTTCACGACGCACACAAAAAGTGCTGTCGTCAAAGAACCTTTGACAAATTATCCTGTTAAGTTGACGAGTAAATATTCCGCAAACGAACGCTCCCACTCTTGTATTGAGTCGCTAGATTCGCTACTCTTTGAATTGTCAATTCGATAAGAAATAAAGACGTATCGCGGAATCAAGTGGCAAGCGTACTACCACATTTAACATTATCGTCAGTTTTTAAGTGTCGCCGTATCCGACGTCGAGTGCCAAAGTTTTTAGCGTGTAATGCTTCCGATACATAAAACCATCCAATAATATTTGTGTTCGACGGCGACACGAAAACATTTTGCTCTGAGGCGCCCCCTATCGGTCGGCCATAAAGGCCTTTCGCGCGATAAAAACTGATCTGTGAGTTTGTCCGCCAACAACAGGAAAACAGATCTTTGGCTAGTGGCCAAGTTACCTGGTGGCTCCGGTGCAGAGGTGCCGCCGCGCGTCGCGCCACGCACTCCCCCTGCGTGCTATCTCCACACAGTCGAGTCTGCCCTCGCGATAAAGGGTTAACAAATTGCATCCAACTTCCAAGCACACGTCGCCGAATGTGGAAGCAGTAAATAGTTCCATGTTTGCCGGCGAAGTTTTGACTTCTTTCTCACTCGCCAACTGACGTTCTCATAATGGCTTTTCCGGAGGTAGGAACGAGCGTTTTCATTGTAACGCTCTGTCGTGCGGCCGCCCGCGGCGCCGCCTCGCCGCCGCGCCGCGCGGTCCGACTGCGTCACTCCTCAATTTGCTCCACCAATTGTCGCCATTTAAATTGTGTTCCTCGTACAATCCACGTTATTATTCTTTTATGCGAGCCCGCGCCTCGATCGCGACGTACAAAATTGTTTTTTTCTGTCGTCTATATCGGCGCTTATTTCGCGTTGTCTCTATTTTTGCAGGAGGCGGGGATGTAAACATGGTGCGGGGCTTAAAAGTGCGTCCTAATTTATTTGAGGCGCCTTTTCGGAAAACGTTTCAGCTATGGTCTTTTATCCAGTTGAACAAAGGATAATACGAATAAAAGCCAGTCGAGCATAATCGTACTTTCGTCGAGAGCTTCACGAAAGATAAAATAGTCACCACAATTTTCCCGGTAGAGTTTTTACCTTTCGGTGGCGCGGTTTTTTTGCGGGATTCAAAGCTGATTCAATAAGAAGTTACGAGCATACTTAGCGAGTACAACACTCGTGTGTACACTTACACATATGTGCCGCGGGAGGAGTAATGTATAATATTCGTAGTGATGTAACAGAAGGGGCGAGTTTGTTGATTGTTTATATTCGATTATCGCAAAACCAGTGGACCAATTTCGACGGCGCTTTTCTGAGCTCGCTTCTTAAAACATCTCAGATGATAATAACGTAGCTATCTGCATAATCAATATGAAACTGAACGAGATGAAGTCTTACCTACCAGTTTCCTTGAATAAACAATTGTTTATCCGTCGGCGGCGACAGTTGGCTATTTGCGATGTTCAAGTTGAAATCGGTCAAGTTTATAAAGCGCATTATAATGATTTATTCGGGATATTAGCGCGGGAGAGCGGCACCTGCCACTCTCAATATATCTAAAAGATCAACCCGAAACCGCGTAACTGATTTAGTTGCAGAGCCAAGTTGGCGGGTTCGGGTGGTAGTAAACTCATAAAGGGCTCCATCAGTCGTCATTAAGCGGACATGACGCTGATAGGCGCCGACGAGTCCCTGCGACCCGACCGCCTCGGGACCCGTGATCGATGTACGACACATCGATACCTACATACTCCAACTAAATTTATTAACTGAAAAATATATTGGTACATCTACATAGTTTTCACAGTGTAACACAGTATGTACGTGTATCTTACAATATTTTTTCCGTTATAACCAGTTGTACATAAAATTACTGAGCCTTTTTAACTTTATTACTGTATTATAATTAGGTAGGTTAGTAGTTTAACAGATATTGACAATAACAAAAGCTTTTGACCATAAATTTAAATAATTATTTCAATAAAACATTCTGGCTCCTAAGTGCATATGTACCTAAATTTGAATTTGACCTATTGAATCGATAGCGAGTATCGAGAAATATTCGCATCGTATCACACAATCGTTATTTGATTACACACCTTCGCGATTACCGCGCGAAGCCCCCGGTCCCTTGTACCTGCGGGGAGTAAGATTGATACGACCGCGGCCACAGCCTCTGACGGGTTGTTATTGAAAAATTGAGCGATAATCCCGCAGCGACCAGCCCCTGTTTAAGATTTCCTTTTTTCCCAACACATTTTTAATAATTTCTCTCCCATAATTCCAGTAAGCTTTATTTTTAATAAGTGATTGGATCAATGTGGTGGTTCAGGATTTTGGTCCTTATGGTGTTAGATTACGAGATTAGCGGCTCAAAGGCCGACATAAATAATAATTGTTTTTAAAAGTAATGTTTTCCTTCTTTTATATTTTCAGTCAAACAAATCCATAATTACGACACATCAAAGAGGTACTTTAACGACGCAAATATAAAATCTGTTCTAGCTGTTGTAATTTCAAAATATCTAATTTGTTCATAATCCATTGACGGGAACATTAACAAAGTTGTCGGCGTATCCTTCATATAACAGTCGATGTATTGTTCCAGGGTGCGCGTTCGTAAAGTTCAGCTCGCACCAGGAGGCGCAGGCAGCCATCACGAGCCTGCACGGAAGTCAAACTATGCCGGTAAGCACGCAACCACATTATCAGACACCAAGCTATGAGCGATCGCGGTGGAAATTGCAGGTCTTTTTTATTTGGTCCGATATTTCGTTTGCAGCGGATATATATATTTCTTCCTGTCATTTTGTTAAATACATTTTCTTTTATTTAGCTTCAGAGTATTTTTAATGTATAGACAGAATGATAAATGATGAGCTACAAGACATTACAAAAATTACAAAGCATCTCAAGGCCAATTTTTAATATATTTTACATAAATATATAAAAGATTATGAAGAAGAATTTAACCTTGATTCACCTTAATAATCCTGGAGCAACCTTCAATAAATACACATCCTTATCTACTTAGGTATCGAGGCTGCCTTCCGCCCTTATCTTCGAAGCAAACTATTTACAAACATTTCAGCGGAAATAACTTATTCGTTTTCAATAAACTGTTCGTCGGTGCTCCGTCAGATTTCTGCGTCACGCTTTTATTAAACTTCCCTCATTTTTCCGTTCACCGCCGCTCCAACAAATTGGTAGGAACCTACGTACTTTCTTCATTTACCTAGTCAACCTAAGTCTTGATGTGATCGGTCTAGAGACTCTACAAGTTTACAAAATTTTCTATATCAATAGAATAAATGTCTTACTTAGATACTTTTAATGAATACTTAAACTGTTCCTAAGTAAGGATTTTATTTCGAAAAAGTTACTAAGGACTGGCTGACCTTTAAAGGACTTTGTGTAAGGAGATCAATGTTTTTAATATCCTAATAAAAGGTTACGTTGTTCAATGATTACCATTCTCTGTTATTTTGCCATCACTAATACAATTTCAATTCAAATTCAAAACTAGCCTAACCTAACTGTCGAATTGGGAAACTCCTGTAATGATGACGTAGAAAGATTTTTTAAGTAAATAAATAAAATTAATAAAATAAAAGACCAAACCAGATTCGATTTAACATTTTTAAATCACACGAGTGGAATCTGAAATGTTGTTTCCAAAGTGGAAACAACATTTTCATCATAAAGATGATGAGAAAACAACATTTGTGTGTGTGTCAACTATGTGTTGGGGTAGCTAGAAATAAGGTCTATTTAACGTCCTACTTAAGATCCGTAGTCAAAATAAGCTGTCAAACACTAAACTAATTACGTTTCCAATACATGTTGAAGAAAACACTAATGTTCTCCCGCCCCCGCTTGTATTTAGGCCACGTCACATGTCGACAAAGCATTGAGTTATTCGCCTACGTATGTACGCTGATAGAATAGTTAGTGAACTAGTAAACAGAATGAACCCTGACTTCACGCAACCCTGATTGTTGATACACCCTCTATAAAGATGGAGCTGATTTCGCGTTGATGAGACCGGCTGTATACATTGTTTGACATACTAACTATTAGCCTTCAAAGTCAGCACAAAAATATAAAAAAACTATGTATAATATATAGTATACGAGTACCTACATTGTAATTAATACGAAGAAAAATGGCCTTCTATTTTCAAAATTTTTTCCTCTTTTTGTAAACAAGATAAAGTACATGCATTTTTTGTTTGTGATAAAAAATACACATTTATTAAGATGATTTGCTAAAAAAGGCATCTTTTCAAAACATTAATTTAAATTTACTTTTTTAAAACATAGTAAACTGTTCTCACGTAATTAAACCAACTGTTTGTATATAGCATCTGTGTGTGAAACTGATTTAAAAAGAGAAACCATGGAGTTTCTCGCTCATTGTTCTCCATTGGAATCTACACTTTGGAACGAGCAAATAGCCATGACACTTTGTATCCTTAAAATTTAGTTTGACGTTCAAAAGTGCCTGAAGCGGTCTTAGTTGTGTCTCTCTACTAATTGAAATAAATGATTTTTGACATTTGAATTTTTTTGACATAGTGAGTATTTTTGAATTTCTTTATTGCAAACTAAATAAATGAGATAAATAATTAATTAATTCAAAATCAGACATCATCAAAGATTAAAACTATACTCGTACTCATAATTTATAATTAATCAAATTGCAACAGCACCAAAATAAAACACTCAACCTTGAACCATTTCAAAAATCTATATCTATATTTGTTACTAAGAAAGGAATCCGACCTTTTGATACCTCTACAAGTCTACATGATCGTAAAAGATGTCTCCAAGATGAAATTGATTTAGTCTGCCAAAGGTCATACATTCACTGTGTGGTACATGGGTCAACTTGAACATAATGATATTGGAACTTATGTAATCTCGGATTTTCAACTCGAATATTGAAGTCACTTGCCTTATAAAATTTTTGAGAGCAAATATTAGAGTTTCGGAAGACGCGTGCGTCTAAAATTCAAATTTTGAAAACGATATGTAACATTTTATTAAAATTGTAATTTTAATACAACTCAGAACTAACATTTATTAAAAAACAATCCAAAACAGAATAATTAACGTGCAGCTAACAAAATGTATACAAATTCGCAAATCGGTTTTCAGGTTTTGAATAAAAATTGTAAAATCGAGTGTCCGATCCAGCAGTTTAACTTTTTAATTAGTGGCTGTCCGACGTCCGCCGAGCCAACGCCGCGCCAGAATAAAACATCGATACTCATTAATTCGAATAATCGATTCGTTTTTTCTAATGTCTCGAATAATCTTTGAGTTAATGTCTTTAATTGATGCTTCACAGCTATATTGGCTTTCTTCTTCAAAAAAGTCAAAAAAAAAGTCAAAAATCATTTATTCCAATTAGACCTTTACAGGCACTTTTGAACGTCAAACAAAATATAAAATAAAAAAATAGTGTCAGTCTGTCGGTCAGTCCTCTTAGTGAAGCTATTTGCTCGTTCCAAAGTGTAGATTCCGATGGAGAAGAACGAGCAAGAAACTCCATGGTTACTCTTTTTAAATCAGTTTCACATACAGATTCCTTTTACAAACAGTTGGTTCAATTATGTGAGAACAGTGTAACACTAATATTTATTCAAATATAAAAATAAAGTAACCTTAAGGACAATAGACAGTCTGGAGCTGACCAGTCCCAACTGACGGCGCTCGTTCACGAGCATGACACGTACACCAGCATCGCCCAACTCAACCATATTATAGGGAATTAAGCGATCCAGTGCCCATGCCACCGCCAGTGTGACCTTTCAGTGAGCATGACAACTCCAAGCTGTTATAAGGACCGACATTCTGCTAGTCTAACCAATTATAATAGGTTACAGGGCACTCACATTTACAAATTTATCAAGTTATAGTTATACAATATAATGCAATTTCACTAAAATGAAGAAGTCCCGTTCAAGCAAAATCCATTGGAACGTTATTTATTTTGGTGTACGTTTGCTATCCTGTGGAGCAGGACCAGCATGTCTCCAAGCATCTTTATCTACAATGTAATCATTCAGTGTGTAGTATGCTTTTCTACATAAAGTTTTCTTTACACATAATTTAAAATTTCTTTCATTTAATTGTTGTATTTCGCCTGGGATTTTGTTATAACATTTAACACAGAATCCCATGAACGACTTATGTACCTTTGCCAATCTAAATAATGGCTGACATAATCTATCTCTATGTCTAGTTTGATAATTATGTCTATCTGACACCTTATCGAATATTTTTAAGTTTTTCCTAACATACATAATGTTTTCATAAATAAACTGACATGGCACGGTCATAATATTGATCTCTCTAAACTTTTCTCTAAGAGACTCACGACGCCTTAGATTGTAAATAGCTCTGATGGCACGCTTTTGCAAGACAAAGATAGACTCAATGTCAGCAGCCTGTCCCCACAACAAGATGCCATACGACATAATGCTATGAAAGTAGCTGAAGTACACCAGTCTTGCAGTGTCCACATCTGTTAGCTGTCGGATCTTCCAGACAGCAAATGCTGCAGAGCTCAACCGTCCTGCCAGAGATGTGATATGGGGCCCCCATTGTAGTTTGTCATCTATGGTTATACCTAGAAAAGTAGTTTGTTTTACAAATTCCAATTTATTACCGTTTAATAATATGTCACATTCGGTACTTTTAACATTTGGCAAACTGAATCGTATACATTTAGTCTTTTTGTCGTTTAGGACTAAATTATTAATTGTAAACCAATTATGAACCTTCGTTATAGCATTATTTACGTCGTCATAATTATCTGTCCGTCTATTTATTTTAAAAATCAACGTTGTGTCATCAGCAAATAATACCATTCCCGGTTCACGTTGAAATAAATGAGGTAAATCATTTATGTACACTAAAAACAGGAAAGGACCTAATATTGAGCCCTGTGGTACGCCCATAGATATGCTAGTACCCTGGGAGTTCACTTTATTTACTTGTACTTTGAACTGCCTATCCTGCAGGTATGATTTTAATAAATTGAGAGATACCCCTCGAATGCCATAGTGTTCCAACTTCAGCAACAGTGTCGTGTGTTCAACGCAATCAAAAGCTTTAGACAGGTCACAAAAAATCCCAATAGCGTCGTTTGACTTTTCCCATGAGGCAAAAACATGCTTAAGTAGAGCTACACCGGCGTCAGTTGTGCATCGACCCTTGGTAAACCCATATTGTTGGTCATGAAAGATGGAATTTATGTTAAAGTGTCGTAGCATCTGAGAAAGCATTAGCTTTTCAAACACTTTACTAAGCACTGGTAAAATTGATACCGGCCTATAATTATTGGGATCATTGTCATCGCCAGATTTAAACAACGGAACTACCTTGCTAAGTTTCATCAAATTTGGAAAAACACCCTGATCTACACTTTTATTAAAAATTACAGCTAAGTAAGGCGCTATAGCTTCTATAAAAGACCTACACACCACAACAGACATTCCCCATAGATCCTCTGTAGACTTAACTTTTATGTCTTTAAACGCCTTTATTACTGATTGCGGGTCCGTGTACTGAAATCGGAAGCCAGAACGGCATTCTTTAACATTTCTTTTAAGAAGACTAATAGAAAGTGCCGGAGATGATTCTAAGTCTTTCGTAGTTTTAATGGGGATATTCTTGAAA